AAGTATAAGTACGATGAATTTGTGTGTAAATTAAGTCTTTGAAAATGTAATACAAATTACGAAAAGCGTTCAGGCGTCAGACCATTAATAAAAAATAAATTTTGGAGAATTGTTATTTTCATTACCACTGACAGTGAAGAAAAACATTAGAAATATTGAAAAAATTCGTGTTAGAATTTTCAATCTTACTTTTTGGTCACATATATATACAGACAATGGGGTAGAAAGACAGAAGGGGATGATCAGAGTGAGAGCGATGAAAGGGGTGAGAAGTGGTAGGGGTCAGGTACTCGTCACCATCTGGGTTTCGAACCTGGAACCTGGACTTCAATTTCTCGTGAAGACTCTGTCATGGCCAGCCACTAGCGGAAGCAGAGGACAGAAGAAGGTATGATGAGAGGAGGAAATTAGGAGGATGAGGAAGAGAAAAATTGGAAATTCAGTTTAGAGTCTTAGTGTATGACTCTCAAGAGTTAGTGAGGCGTCTTAGTGTATGACTCTCAAGAGTTAGTATGGCGTCTTAGTGGATGACTCTCAAGAGTTAGTGAGGCGTCTTAGTGGATGACTCTCAAGAGTTAGTGTGGCGTCTTAGTGGATGACTCTCAAGAGTTAGTGTGGCGTCTTAGTGGATGACTCTCAAGAGTTAGTGTGGCGTCTTAGTGGATGACTCTCAAGAGTTAGTGAGGCGTCTTAGTGGATGACTCTCAAGAGTTAGTGTGGAGTCTTAGTAGATGACTCTCAAGAGTTAGTGTGGAGTCTTAGTGGATGACTCTCAAGAGTTAGTGTGGCGTCTTAGTGGATGACTCTCAAGAGTTAGTGAGGCGTCATAGTGGATCACTCTCAACCGTTATTGTTAAGTGTTAGTGGATCACTCTTAACCATTAATGTGCAGTCTTAGTGGATCACTCTTAACCATTAATGTGCAGTCTTAGTGGATCACTCTCAAGAGTCAAGTTGCAACATTAGTGGATCACTCAACAGGTAAGCTGCAGCTATTGTGGATCACTATCAACGGTTAGTATAGAGCCCTTGTGGATCACTATCAACGGTTAGTATAGAGCCCTTGTGGATCACTATCAACGGTTGGTATAGAACCCTTGTGGATCACTATCAACGGTTAGTATAGAGCCCTTGTGGATCACTATCAACGGTTGGTATAGAACCCTTGTGGATCACTATCAACGGTTAGTATAGAGCCCTTGTGGATCACTATCAACGGTTAGTATAGAGCCCTTGTGGATCACTATCAACGGTTAGTATAGAGCCCTTGTGGATCACTATCAACGGTTAGTATAGAGCCCTTGTGGATCACTATCAACGGTTAGTATAGAGCCCTTGTGGATCACTATCAACGGTTAGTATAGAGCCCTTGTGGATCACTATCAACGGTTAGTATAGAGCCCTTGTGGATCACTATCAACGGTTAGTATAGAGCCCTTGTGGATCACTATCAACGGTTAGTATAGAGCCCTTGTGGATCACTATCAACGGTTAGTATAGAGCCCTTGTGGATCACTATCAACGGTTAGTATAGAGCCCTTGTGGATCACTATCAACGGTTAGTATAGAGCCCTTGTGGATCACTATCAACGGTTAGTATAGAGCCCTTGTGGATCACTATCAACGGTTAGTATAGAGCCCTTGTGGATCACTATCAACGGTTAGTATAGAGCCCTTGTGGATCACTATCAACGGTTAGTATAGAGCCCTTGTGGATCACTATCAACGGTTAGTATAGAGCCCTTGTGGATCACTATCAACGGTTAGTATAGAGCCCTTGTGGATCACTATCAACGGTTAGTATAGAGCCCTTGTGGATCACTATCAACGGTTAGTATAGAGCCCTTGTGGATCACTATCAACGGTTAGTATAGAGCCCTTGTGGATCACTATCAACGGTTAGTATAGAGCCCTTGTGGATCACTATCAACGGTTAGTATAGAGCCCTTGTGGATCACTATCAACGGTTGGTATAGAGCCCTTGTGGATCACTATCAACGGTTAGTATAGAGCCCTTGTGGATCACTATCAACGGTTGGTATAGAGCCCTTGTGGATCACTATCAACGGTTAGTATAGAGCCCTTGTGGATCACTATCAACGGTTAGTATAGAGCCCTTGTGGATCACTATCAACGGTTAGTATAGAGCCCTTGTGGATCACTATCAACGGTTGGTATAGAGCCCTTGTGGATCACTATCAACGGTTAGTATAGAGCCCTTGTGGATCACTATCAACGGTTGGTATAGAGCCCTTGTGGATCACTATCAACGGTTAGTATAGAGCCCTTGTGGATCACTATCAACGGTTGGTATAGAGCCCTTGTGGATCACTATCAACGGTTAGTATAGAGCCCTTGTGGATCACTATCAACGGTTGGTATAGAGCCCTTGTGGATCACTATCAACGGTTAGTATAGAGCCCTTGTGGATCACTATCAACGGTTGGTATAGAGCCCTTGTGGATCACTATCAACGGTTAGTATAGAGCCCTTGTGGATCACTATCAACGGTTGGTATAGAGCCCTTGTGGATCACTATCAACGGTTAGTATAGAGCCCTTGTGGATCACTATCAACGGTTGGTATAGAGCCCTTGTGGATCACTATCAACGGTTAGTATAGAGCCCTTGTGGATCACTATCAACGGTTGGTATAGAGCCCTTGTGGATCACTATCAACGGTTAGTATAGAGCCCTTGTGGATCACTATCAACGGTTGGTATAGAGCCCTTGTGGATCACTATCAACGGTTAGTATAGAGCCCTTGTGGATCACTATCAACGGTTGGTATAGAGCCCTTGTGGATCACTATCAACGGTTAGTATAGAGCCCTTGTGGATCACTATCAACGGTTAGTATAGAGCCCTTGTGGATCACTATCAACGGTTAGTATAGAGCCCTTGTGGATCACTATCAACGGTTAGTATAGAGCCCTTGTGGATCACTATCAACGGTTAGTATAGAGCCCTTGTGGATCACTATCAACGGTTAGTATAGAGCCCTTGTGGATCACTATCAACGGTTAGTATAGAGCCCTTGTGGATCACTATCAACGGTTAGTATAGAGCCCTTGTGGATCACTATCAACGGTTAGTATAGAGCCCTTGTGGATCACTATCAACGGTTAGTATAGAGCCCTTGTGGATCACTATCAACGGTTAGTATAGAGCCCTTGTGGATCACTATCAACGGTTAGTATAGAGCCCTTGTGGATCACTATCAACGGTTAGTATAGAGCCCTTGTGGATCACTATCAACGGTTAGTATAGAGCCCTTGTGGATCACTATCAACGGTTAGTATAGAGCCCTTGTGGATCACTATCAACGGTTAGTATAGAGCCCTTGTGGATCACTATCAACGGTTAGTATAGAGCCCTTGTGGATCACTATCAACGGTTAGTATAGAGCCCTTGTGGATCACTATCAACGGTTAGTATAGAGCCCTTGTGGATCACTATCAACGGTTAGTATAGAGCCCTTGTGGATCACTATCAAGTATAGAGCCCTTGTGGATCACTATCAACGGTTAGTATAGAGCCCTTGTGGATCACTATCAACGGTTAGTATAGAGCCCTTGTGGATCACTATCAACGGTTAGTATAGAGCCCTTGTGGATCACTATCAACGGTTAGTATAGAGCCCTTGTGGATCACTATCAACGGTTAGTATAGAGCCCTTGTGGATCACTATCAACGGTTAGTATAGAGCCCTTGTGGATCACTATCAACGGTTAGTATAGAGCCCTTGTGGATCACTATCAACGGTTAGTATAGAGCCCTTGTGGATCACTATCAACGGTTAGTATAGAGCCCTTGTGGATCACTATCAACGGTTAGTATAGAGCCCTTGTGGATCACTATCAACGGTTAGTATAGAGCCCTTGTGGATCACTATCAACGGTTAGTATAGAGCCCTTGTGGATCACTATCAACGGTTGGTATAGAGTCCTTGTGGATCACTATCAACGGTTAGTATAGAGCCCTTGTGGATCATTCTCAAGTTTTAATCAAGAGAAAACAAGATGAAGTCTTAGAGTCATGACGTTAAGTGTATTTACAGAGAATCATCTATCTTGAGGTTATCTTGAGATAATTTCGGGGCTTTAGTGTCCCCGCGGCCCGGTCCTCGACCAGGCCTCCACCCCCAGGAAGCAGCCCGTCACAGCTGACTAACACCCAGGTACCTATTTACTGCTAGGTAACAAGGGCATAGGGTGAAAGAAACTCTGCCCATTGTTTCTCGCCGGCGCCTGGGATCGAACCCAGGGCCACAGGATCACAAGTCCAGCGTGCTGTCCGCTCCGCCGACCGGCTTCCCTTCGGCCGACCGGCTTCCCTAGTTTCAGGTTGTTACAAATTTTGTAAAGTATACATATAATGATAGAAAACAATTGATGGTGTTCTCATATGGTGTATTCTTTCCTCGGTGAGGTACAACGATGTTTATTTCTTACGATACAGCGAAGGTGACTGAATGCGTTACAGTGACCGTAGCCTTAACATTGCTACGATAATCACACTGGAGCCGGTCGGCCGAGCGGACAGCACACTGGATTTGTGATCCTGTGGTCCCGGGTTCGATCCCGGGCGCCGGCAAGAAACAATGGGCAGAGTTTCTTTCACCCTATGCCCCTGTTACCTAGCAGTAAAATAGGTACTTGGGTGTTAGTCAGCTGTCACGGGCTGCATCCTGGGGGTGGAGGTCTGGTCGAAGACTGGGCCGCGGGGACACTAAAAAGCCCCGAAATCATCTCAAGATAACCTCAAGATAACACTGTTACCTGCTAGAGAGGCCATTGTTGCATGTAGAAACCAGGCATTAACTGCTGGTTCATTTTTCAGAAATATCGTAGCTTAATTTTATGCTGTGGCGTAGATCCAGAATGGAAATCGAATGACGTTTTTGCGCTACAGGTACCGAAGGCTATCATACAGCCACTGTAGCTTCATGTAATACTGTATCCGCTCAGGAGATATGGCTACAGGAGTAGCAGGAGCACATTTACCACAATACACGAGCAGCTACGGTGACCACAGCTTCATGTGGAGCAGCTACGGTGACCATAGCTTCATGAGGAGCAGCTACGGTGACCACAGCTTCATGAGGAGCAGCTACGGTGACCACAGCGTCATGAGGAGCAGCTACGGTGACAACAGCTTCATGAGGAGCAGCTACGGTGAGCACAGCTTCATGTGGAGCAGCTACGGTGACCATAGCTTCATGAGGAGCAGCTACGGTGACCACAGCTTCATGAGGAGCATCTACGGTGACAACAGCTTCATGAGGAACAGCTACGGTGACCACAGCTTCATGAGGAGCAGCTACGGTGACAACAGCTTCATTTGGAACAGCTACGGTGACCACAGCTTCATGAGGAGCAGCTACGGTGACAGCAGCTTCATGAGGAGCAGCTACGGTGATCACAGCTTCATGTGGAACAGCTACGGTGATCACAGCTTCATGAGGAGCAGCTACGGTGACAACAGCTTCATGAGGAGCATCTACGGTGACAACAGCTTCATGTGGAGCAGCTACGATGACCACAGCTTCATGAGGAGCAGCTACGGTGACCACAGCTTCATGAAGAGCAGCTACGGTGACAACAGCTTCATGAGGAGCAGCTACGGTGGCAACAGCTTCATGAGGAGCAGCTACGGTGACCACAGCTTCATGAGGAACAGCTAGTGCTACTGGAGCTACATACTCTACAGCTACAGTGGCCGGTACTTTATATGGAACAGCTACAGTGACCAAAGCTTCATATGGTGCAGGTACAGTGACCGGAACTTCATGCAATACAGCTACTTTGATCGAAACTTCGTGTGGTACAGTTGCAGTGACTAAAGTTTCAAACGACACAGCTACAGTGACCAAAGCTTCATACGATGCAGGTACAGTGACTTCCTGAGGTATAACTTCAGTGACTAAAGCTTCAAACGGTACAGCTGCAATGACGAAAGATTTATGTGTTACGACTACAGTGGCCAAAACATTGTATGGTACAGCTATAATGACCAAAACTTCATGTGATACAGCAACATTGACCAAAGCTTCATGCGGTACACCGATGTTCACCAAAGCTACATACGGTTCAGCAACAGTGACCAATGCCTCATGTGGTACAGCCAAAGTGATCAAAACTGCATGCGTTACACCTGCAGTGATCAAGGCTTCATGCGGTACAGCTACAGTGACCAAAGTTTCATGCAGTACAGCAACAGTGACCAAAGCTCCATGCGGTACAGCTGCATTGATCGGAGCTGCATATGACACAGCGAACATGTACCGAGTATCTCTCGGTACAGCAACTGCATCCTCTGGGTACAGAATATGCATGTATAAATGTCTGAAATGTGGACCAAACCTTTTTCTCTTGTCACCAGCAAGCCAAGCCAAATATGAGAGCGGGAAAAATTAGTTTCTTGAAAAATTAATAGCACCATTTTCAGACAAGACTGAGGCAGGATATTCCAACAAGGGTATCGTCGCCGGCAGAGTCAAAGAGTTCGGCTCACACTCTTACAAGACAAAGGGGCCAAAAACTCAGGAAGCTTATATATGCGGTGTCTGGTGCTCTTCCACAACGGGGGAAAGTTTTTTGAACATGGAGTAAGTTTTAGTTCTGTAGTTTCATGGGGAAAAGTTGTTATGGAAGGTTTTGCTTTTCTAACTCATTTTTAAAGGGTAAATATGTGATATCTCTGCTTAAGTTGTTTTATTTACCCCTAAGAAGAAATGCAGAGTCAAAGACAATTCCTTGATGGAGCCGAGTAGCGTTAAATGAGGAGCGTTTTTGGATTTATTGGAGGTGTTCAAACCCAATTCATCCCACACTTCGGTAGCTATAAGATCGTCGACTATAACTGTGTGTAGTGTCTAGTTAATAGTTGCTTCCCATGTTATTCTCTATATTTGACCTGTTGCTCTAGATCGCTTTACCTTTGATGTGCAGGACAACATTCCTCATATGTGTTCAGTGAGCGGCGTGCCAGAGAGTCTGGCGAGAGACCACCGTAAGGTTGAGTGTAGAACATTACCCGATGGTGGCCACTTTACCTTCCCCCTCCTCCCTTAGCTTCCTTTAGCCGTTGTTGGCCACTTAACCTCCCCCTCCTCCCTTAGCCTTCCTTAGTTGTTGTTGGCCACTTAACCCCTCCCCCTCCACCCTTAGCCGTTGTTGGCTACTTAACGTTCCCCCTCCTCCCTTAGCTTCCTTTAGCCGTTGTTGGCCACTTAACCTCCCCCTCCTCCCTTATTAGCCGTTCTTGGCCACTTAAACCCCCCTCCTCCCTTAGCCTCCCTTAGCCGTTGTTGGCCACTTAAACTTCCCCCCTTCTCCCTTAGCCTACCTTAGCCGTTGTTGGCCACTTAACCTTCCCTCTTCCCCTTTAGCCTCCCTTAGCCGTTGTTAATCACTTAACATCTCCCCTCCTCCCTTAGCCTCCCTTAGCCGTTGTTGGCCACTTAACGTTCCCCCTTCTCCCTTAGCCTCCCTCTCGCCCACTACAGCCATAAACGCTGTTGAACATGTCGGTAACATGGCAGTGGTTACTGACACTGACCTTTGGCACGCCTTTCTATACCTGACCTTACCTTGTAGCACTTCAGGCAGCATCAAGGTGACATATATGACTAAAGTAAACCTCTCTAGGCTCTCTCTTGGTCATGTCTGACCTTAAGCTGGCACTCCTGATAGCCTCTGACACTTTGCACCTCCTGGCACTCGTAACTTTCAGCATGGATTATTATCCACATCAGATAAATAGGTGACACTCTTGGTGAAATCTGACGTTCTTTTGGCATTACTGTCGAAAATGTCCCTGTGCTTATCGTTCTTGAACATATTTGACACGTTATATCTTGAGGTTATCTTGAGATAATTTCGGGGCTTTTAGTGTCCCCGCGGCCCGGTCCTCGACCAGGCCTCCACCAACAGCAAGCAGCCCCTGACAGCTGACTAACACCCAGGTACCTATTTTACTGCTAGGTAACAGGGGCATAGGGTGAAAGAAACTCTGCCCATTGTTTCTCGCCGGCGCCTGGGATCGAACCCAGGACCACAGGATCACAAGTCCAGCGTGCTGTCCGCTCGGCCGACCGGCTCCCTTAACTGGAATTCGTTAACTGGAATTCTTGTCATATCTGATCCACTAATTTGTATTCGTGGTTACAGCTAGCTCAAAAATTCAAAGGATGTGTTATTGTTTCATGATATCCTTATCCACATCTGACACGTTATCTTGACATGACTAATCAACGTGGTTGTCACTACAGACCCCACCTAACAATTTGTGTACACGGTCACATCTTACAATATGACTGACATGAGGCCACATGTAGGCCAGATGTAAAATCTGGCCACATCTTACCGAGTATCTGGTCACCTTTGAATATCTGGGGCCAGATTCACGAAAGCACTTACGAACCTGTACATCTTTTCTCAATCTTTGGCGGGTATGTTTACAATTATTAAACAGTTAATGAGCTCGGAAGCACCAGGAGGCTGTTTATAACAATAACAACAGTTGATTGGCAAGTTTCATGCTTGAAAACTGTTTAATAAATGTAACCAAAGCCGTCAAAGATTGAGGAAAGATGTACACGTTCGTAAGTGCTTTCGTGAATCTGGCCCCTGAACATTCGGTCACTCCAGGCAATGTCGATAGCATTTTTGGTCACAAATAACCCTTTAGTTACAACATCTGGTAACGTTTTATCATTAGGTCTTACTAACCAGCACGTCTTACAACATTTTGCTATATGGCGAGTAATTTGGGCGGTCATTGAACCTTCACGAACATTCGGTTTCACCAAATTTCACTCGCTCCAGCATCAGTAGCATCACAAGGAACACACCCGCCAGCATCAGCAGCATCACAAGGAACACACCCGCCAGCATCAACAGCATCACAAGGAACACACCCGCCAGCATCAACAGCATCACAAGGAACACACCCGCCAGCATCAACAGCATCACAAGGAACACACCCGCCAGCATCAACAGCATCACAAGGAACACACCCGCCAGCATCACAAGGAACACACCCGCCTGCATCAGCAGCATCACAAGGAACATGCTCTCTGGAGGAGGATGGAGAGTGCGTGCAGCTTCACTATGAGTCTCTCAGACACTCACGGGAGCCTGGGATTGAGGTCGCCTTTCTGGACAACCATAAATAACATTTCTTTGCAATGTATTATGCGGAGAGAGAGAGAGAGAGAGAGAGAGAGAGAGAGAGAGAGAGAGAGAGAGAGAGAGAGAGAGAGAGAGAGAGAGAGAGAGAGAGAGAGAGAGAGAGAGAGAGAGAGAGAGAGAGAGAGAGAGAGAGAGAGAGAGAGAGAGAGAGAGAGAGAGAGAGAGAGAGAGAGAGAGAGAGAAAAGAGAGAGAGAGAGAGAGAGAGAGAGAGAGAGAGAGAGAGAGAGAGAGAGAGAGTACTTAGAGAGAGAGGAGATAGAGAGAGAGAGGTCATAGAGAGAGAGAGAGAGAGAGACAGAGAGAGAGAGAGAGAGAGAGAGAGAGAGAGAGGAGAGAGAGAGAGAGAGAGAGAGAGAGAGAGAGAGAGAGAGAGAGAGAGAGAGAGAAAGGAACTATCAAGAGAAAGCGCCAAGCTATTACGACTATATAGCAATGTTAAGGGTGTCAGGATAAGGGTTTGGGACGATAGGATGGGAAAGAATGGTGGCTAACCGTTTGAACGGTCGGGAATTAAACACTGGCCTGCATGAAGTGAGGCCGTCGCTCTACCGTCCAGCCCAAGTGGTTGGGCAGAGGAAGATAATGAAATAAGAGTCACCTGGCCCAACCCATTGATGTGGTCATCCAACCCGTTCTCGCACTTTCTTACAGTCAATATTGACTTATTAAATACGTGCATATGTGACTTACTAAACATACTAGTTTACCTTGAAAAGCTTAATAGAAAACACCGACCTAACATACTAAGAAGGTTAGGTAAGGTCGGTGTTTTCTATGAAAATTTTCAAGGTAAACTAGTATGTTTAGTATGTCACATATGAACGTATTTAATAAGTCAATATTGACTATACCAAAGTGCGAGAACGGGTTGGGTCCTCCCTGGTCATCTTGAAATTATGTTCTTCAAAATTTGCATAAATCCAGGTACCTCAATACTCTTATGGGCATTGTACAGACCTCAATGCTAGGGTTTTTTCCTCAATCAACTTCGTGATGGACAACCTGGACTGTTCACGTCCAGGGGGACGTGAACAGCCAAGCAAATGCTTTCACCAGTCTTATACTGGATCTCCAGCATAGGCATATACCTCACCTGCAGTATGTGACCATGCTACTGATCAACCATTGTTTGGATATCGCTGCCGGATGGCAGCTAAAGCAAACTAAGGCCTGGAAGAGATTAAAAAAGGCATCTTTCTGTTCATAACAGAAACATTTATAGCCAAATGCAGGCGAGGAGTCACAATAACGTGGCTGAAGTATGTTGACCAGACCACACACTAGAAGTTGAAGGGACGACGTTTCGGTCCGTCCTGGACCATTCTCAAGTCGATTCAACTTCTAGTGTGTGGTCTGGTCAACATTTATAGCCAATCTTGTTAAATATTGAAAGAAACTCAAAAGTGGGCTATATCCAGATGGGAATCCAAAACTCGAAGAAAACTTGCATCTGGAAGAGTTGGTTCCAAGGTCTGGTGGTCCCCGGTAAAAGATTCGGCAGAGATATTCATATGACGACACAATCCCGCCTCAAAACCGGGAGGATGGAACTGTAGCTGTAAAACCTACAGATGTAGGTGGAACTGTAAAACCTACAGATGTAGATGGAACTGTAAAACCTACAGATGTAGGTGGAACTGTAAAACCTACAGATGTAGATGGAACTGTAAAACCTACAGATGTAGATGGAACTGTAAAACCTACAGATGTAGGTGGAACTGTAAAACCTACAGATGTAGATGGAACTGTAAAACCTACAGATATAGATGGAACTGTAAAACCTACAGATATAGATAGAACTGTAAAACCTACAGATATAGATGGAACTGTAAAACCTACAGATGTAGATGGAACTGTAAAACCTACAGATATAGATGGAACTGTAAAACCTACAGATATAGATGGAACTGTAAAACCTACAGATGTAGATGGAACTGTAAAACCTACAGTTTTAGATAGAACTGTAAAACCTACAGATATAGATGGAACTGTAAAACCTACAGATGTAGATGGAACTGTAAAACCTACAGATGTAGATGGAACTGTAAAACCTACAGATGTAGATGGAACTGTAAAACCTACAGA